CAAATCATCGTTCATCCATCCCTTCTCTTGGGCTCTAACTATGATGCCCTGGGGGAAAACTTCGTTGGGAATTCTTTTCCTTTTCAAAACAACGTACGGGGGTAGCTTCCGCCCGTCCGCGGTCACACAAAGCATCACGGTGCAGCGTTGGCGCTCAGCGCCGGTGGTCCGCACGGCGACACTCTTCTTGCCTTTTACTTCGACTGTGTAGTTCTCGGGAGAGTCAAACCACACAGGAGTTTGATCAGCGTTCGTTATTTGCGACAACAAATAACTGTGCTGATGGCGCAGGCCGATGACATACTTGTGAAAACTAAGCACCTTGTCGGTATAGTTTTCTGGCAGTCGCTGGCACAGCGTGGTCCTTCGCCGAAAAGAGAGTCCCTTTCTTTTAATAAACCTTCGCACCCAGCCAGCACTAGCCTTGAAATCCCCGGCCGGTATATTTTTCGCACGTGCCAAGGCTAGTGCCTTCATGCGCACAATGTCTGTAGTGAGCGCAAAACCATCGTTCCGCACCTCAGTCACATAGCGGAGCAACTCCTCTTCCAAATCGGGATACTTGCACTGTTTTCCTCGGAAAGCGCGCTTTTTGATATTGGTGTTCTGCAAGGCTTTCTTCTGGGCGCACCAACGTCGAACACACTTCTCGTCAACGTCGAATTTTCTGCCGGCGGCCCGTTTCCCGTGCTCGAGGGCAAACTCGATCACCTTCAACTTATAGCCAGCTGTATAGCTATTCAGCTGCTTGCCCATCGTGCGAAAACGTAAACGTCCCGCAGAAAACTAGCTGGAGTCCCAGAGTCATTCAACGGTGCGCAAAACTCGAGCACATGGCAGGCTGAACAGCACAATGACCAAACAACGCACAAATACCAAAGTTGGTGATGCTAATGCCGATATGGATAGCGCGTTTGTTTAGAAGTGTCAGAAGTTAAATATAAAATCCTGCTTTAACCTTTAGTTGGCGGGTGTATGAACACTACTTAAAAAATTAAAAATTTTTATAGCCAACTTCATGAACATATTAGCATGAAGAAAACCAACAAATTATTCTAATGATGTACTATATGGTGATGATGAGAATTGCGTTCCCTAACGCCATCTACTGACAACGCCTAGTACCTCACACACGCGCGCACATTTTGAATACGCATGGGTCAAGGAAAGTGCGGATGCGGCCCTTACACGCAACTTTTTTTTTTTTTTTGAATATGTGCTTCTTAAAAACGGGATGCGGCCCTTACACGGGTGCGGCCCTTACACGCGTGTATACGGTATTTTGATATGTGTTGCTTGTACTTATCACACGGCATATATGACTTTTGAACAGAAACATTACTCGCATCTCTAAATTTATGCATGTTATTCTAGGCTATAATTTTGGCTCGGTTTGATGGCCGTCTGGATTGTTTAGGCTATAACTGTCATCAGCAGAAGCTTGCCCGGCTACTCATTCCTTTTATAATTAATATTATTATTATTATTATTGGTGATGCAATAGCAAACATTCTCAGCTACACACTTATTGCTTGTGGTTCGTGTTTCAAAAGTAGCACTTGTGTAACTTCGGCTAAATTTCTGATTTCAGTTTGGTGAGATTGTGTAAATAAATCTGCAATTATTTTTTAGCATGAGATCAAGTACACAAAAGAGTATCTAAATTAAGATATCGAGTTGACATTCGTGATTCATCTGTGGAATCAAGCTAGCTGTGGCACCTTGACAGATTCCTTCTGGCCACCACATATTCAAACTTCGGCCCTTGAAACGCTGTCCCCAGCTTTCATTGCAGCCGTTCGAGGACTTCTGTTGCACTTCAAGTGTCAGAGTCCAGAGACACAAAATACATTGTCTCCCAATAAACGAAACTCGCTTAAATGAAAATGCCTCATTAACGGAACTAAACGGGCTCATATGGCTGGATTTCTATGTGTTTCGCAGTAAAATTCATCGGTTATTCAAAACAGTGCTTATTGGTCACCTACGGTTAAACGGCACAAACTCTAAACACAGCATAGACTCGCTCATGCTCACAGTCTCACAACATGGCAACATAACGAGATCAAGACAAGCCAATCCAGTAGCCATTCTCACTTGTCGCTATGGTAGCACAGCCGGCAAGTCAGTTGTGCGTTAGGCCTATTTGTGCGGCGAAGTGCGGTGGATCATGGTGTTATTTTAGCCCGATAGAAAGGAAGCCTCCGCACCATGCACTCTCACTTGAAAAAAAGCTGCAAATTTTTCAGGAGCTCGATTGAAGCGGCCTGCCCAAGATGGAGGTGGCGAAAAAATGCATCCTGAAATCGTTGCTGTCGCGAACTTGGGAAGACGGAGAAATGATTGAAGGCACTGTTAAGAACGGGACCTTTACATCTAAACGGATGCGAACAGCGCCTTATGAACAACTAGAAAAAAGTTTTTTCTCTGGTTCAAGCATGCACAGAGTTCCAATTTGCTGCAACATAAGCGGACTAATTCTTGAGGAGAAAGCTCGAGAGATCGCCATGCAAATGGGTGTTAAGAACTTCGTCATAAGCGACGGATGGCTCAGCCGCTTCAATACACGCCATGGCCTAGTCTTCAAAGCAATCTCAGGTGAGAGTGCGGCAGTCATCAGGGACGTTTGAACGGACTGGCAACAAGCGTGGCTTAAGGAAATTTTGATGAGCTTTGAGCCACGAGACGTCTTCAACGTCGATGAGATGAGTGATTTTATAAGCCTCTTTCATCAAAGACTCTCACCTTCAAAGGCAAAGCCTGTAATGGAGGAAAATGCAGTAAAGATCACATCACTGTCCTAGTGGGGGCAAACATGGCAGGAGATGAGAAATTGATGTGCTGAAGAGGAAAATCAAGGCACCCACATTGTTTCGAAGGCGTTCGACACCTTCCCGTTGTGTACCATGGAACGGAAGAGCGTGGATGACCATGGTCATTTTCAAAAACTGGCTTCGGGAGGAAGATGCAAGTTTTACGAGGCAAAGCAGGAAGGTTGTCTTCATCGTGGATAATTGCCGAGCCCACGGTCAGGTTCAAGGACTCCAAGCCATCACTCTGGAGTTCCTGCCAGCCAAAGCAATGACAGTGATCCAGCCGATGGATCATGGGGTTATTAGAACAATGAAGTTTCATTGCCAAATTGCTTCATCAAATGCTGCTTAGAGCAGGCAGCGGGAAATTCTACAGCATAGATTTATTGGCAGCCATCCACATTTTGACTTGTGCCTGGGAGCAAGTGAAGGCAACAGCAATACACAGATGTTTTCACCATGCTGGCTTTCAAACACAAGAAAGCAGTACCTGATGAAAAGAAAGCCCTGCTGATGCCGACATTGAGACAGTATCCAGTCGGGTCGTGCTCTCTGCCCCTTTCACGCTGCAGGACTACGAATCAATTGATGAAAACGTTTGTACCTGTCGTCAAGAGACTGTCGAGAAAATGATTGCCGAAGTGCAAGATGAGGATAAACCTTTCAGTGATGAATGTGATGACAATATTGCTAGTGCAGTGGTGCCACCAGACTGATCAGCTAAAGAGACTGTTGAACTTTTTCAGCGCTATTTTGAGCATGAGGCTTGTCCAGAATTTCTAGCTAGTTTGTCAGGCATGGGTGCATACTTTGTGAAAAAACAACTCAAGCTTGCCAAACAAACCACTCTTCACTCCTTTTTTTTCCCTACTCATCCTCATGAGTAAGTGGAGGTTTGTGGAATTTGAATAAAGGTCTTGGTTCACTAAATAAGTGTACTTTGCTTAAATGAAACTTCTGATAAATGGAACAGTTTTGTGGATCCCCTTCGAGTTCTGTTTAAGAGGAGTCGACTGTACAACCATGCATGTGCTCGTCGGAAAAAGAAAATTTTGCAGTACGGCTCTGTTCTTGCAACGTTGTTGTTACTCGTTGTCAAGGCAAGGTACACAGAATACGTGACTAGTAGTTATTCATTTTTTTTTTTGCTGAAAAGTATATTTTATAGGGTGCGCAAATTAGGCCAGGGTGCAAATCGATATTAAATGCAGGCTCCTCTATCGCAGGCTCCTCTAAACTTTTATCTGTGGTTACTATTAACTGGTGTGTTGGCTTTGTGGTTCTTTCGGACATCGAACAGCTGACATGCTCACGACCTGGCTCAGGGGTTATGGTAAATATGTTTATTATTTTATACGGAGTGCTTGATTTTTTTTACCACTAGAGGGTTTGTTGCACAGTTTTCCAAGCAGACGTGGCAATCATGAAGTTTGCTTTTAGTCATTATAAAAAAAAACCTGGAAAAGTCTGGTAATTTAGAAATATCAAATTGGTAGACACCCTGTTTAGGCTCATGCATATGCACCCCCTTTGTGACATTTGCACGAGCCCTTACTCAAAAATAGTCTTTCACTTGTTGAATGTGTACAAACAAGATCGTGCCCAAGGTCTTTATTCTGTCACTGCAGGCAGGTGGGAATCGCGTGTAGCCATTCTAGGCGCTTGCCTGGAGTAGCCGGCTGTAGGAGACATGGCCTGTTTGTTACGTGTTTTGCTTCTGGGTGTTGGGTACAAAGCCCCCTCACACAATCAAGGCAGAGCATGTGATGCTTATACAGCTAAACAAATTGTTCCACTTGTGGCTGTCCGGTTCATAAAATCATTTTAGAATGCATTGCACATGGATGGAGGCTTGTGTACGTTGTACTTGAACTGGTATAGAGCCTCACGGTAAAGAAGAAATGGCCAAGCAGACCAGCACAGCGCTCTGTCCTCTTGTGTCAGTCTGCTCATCCGCTTCTTCACCACAATATGCTATACCAGTTCAAGTATGATGAACCAACTTTCCCAATCTTCTATACTTGTTTACATGAACCTTTGCGGGGAGAACGCCACAGGCTTCCAATGTTGTATCCGAGTATGCGTGAATTCCTTTAGCCAACCACTGTAGGGCCATTACCACGTAGTGCACACTGCACTCATTGCCGTGAAGTTGCACCTGAGCATTTCATCGCTCTTTCAATTCAGACTGCAGCAGACGTCGGCGTCAGTGTGCGAGCGTGTGCGGTCGAGGGAGAAAGAGCTGGAGCAGGCTCACCAGGAGACTCTGGAACAGGAGCGCCAGGAGGCCGAGGCACAGCTGGCGCAGGCGCAGCAGCAGGTGCAGCAGGTCGAGGCCACCTGCGCTCAGCTCCAGCAATTGCTCGATCAGGAGGCACAGAACCTGGCTGCCCAGCGGAACGCCTCCGAGGTAGGGAGTACTTTCAAAGGAAGTGCTTCAGCATGCTTAATGACTCACTGGTAGTGTATGTGCTCAATTGTCTGAATTACAGGTGTGCAAATATTCCAACTTTCAAATATTTTTAAATGGTGTACGCTATTCAATTTGCACCAAATCTTTATATTTGAAGTGTTCAATCTTCTGGAATATAAATATGACTTCAAATCAGCGTGCGGTGTCTTTCAAAATCACTAGAATGATCTGTTTTATAGCTTTGCTGGAGAAGGTGTGAGAAACTACTTACTTATGCGATTCTAAGCACCCCCTTCCTCTGTGTTCACTATAAACATTTTGGAAAAACATTTTGCTTGCGAATCTAAGCACCCCTTTTATTCTTTTCTGCGAACATGGCACAGTCAGTGCCACCAAGCGCGCCCTCTCTTCTTTGAATCCGCCACGTCGTATGTTGCTAGATATACACAAAAGATGGCGGCAAAAGAGTCAGAGGCCGATCCAATCGGCAAGTCCGAACAGGTTATGTTGGTGGTTGGCGTCGAAAAAAAAAAAAAAAAAAGGATGAATCTAGTTTTGTTCACTAAATATTACGGCTAGGTGGCGTTAGCTGCCACCTGATCTAAAGGGTACAGCCATATAAATCCATCCATCCATGCCACGTTTCATGTTAGTTTTTTTATAGCCCTGACATCGATCAGAATGAGTGCAAAGAGGGCATCTTACAACTTGAAGTTCAAGCAAGCTGTGATCGCGTTTGCCTGAGGCCAATGGCTACCACAGAGCTGCTGCAGGATTCGGCGTGGATCGAGCCTGTATCATCGGGTGGAAGAAGCAGTGGGACCAGATTTTCAAGGGTGCCGCGACTCACAAAAAAATCACGGGACCGCACAAGGGCCGACGGAGCTTGTATCATCGGGTGAAGGAAGCAGCTTGACCAGATTTTCTAGGGCGCGGCGACTCTCAAGAAATTTACGGAACCTTGCAAGGGCCGACCGAGCCTGTATAATCAGGTGGAGGAAGCAGCGGGACCAGATTTTCAAGGGCGCCGCGTCCTCGCAAAAAATTCACGGGGCCGCACAAGGGTCGACCGAGCCTGTATCATCAGGTGAAGGAAGCAGCGGGACCAGATTTTCAATGGCGCCGCGACTTGCAAGAAATTCATGGGACCCCACAAGGGCCGACAGCCCCGAACTCGAAGAGAAAGTCTGCGAGTTTGTTCGCATCGAAAGAAGCAGGGGCTTCAGACGAATACGATGGAAATCGCGAGGAGAATGGAGATTCCCCGCGCCGTGTTACGTGCTAGTCGTGACTGGCCGAGTGCATGATGCGAAGGAATGGATTATCTTTGAGACGCCAGACTTCGATATGCCAAAAGCTGCCTAGTGATAACAAACTCATTACTTTTTAGCAACATGTGTTAGATGTCCGCAGACTAAACAGCTACAATTTTGGCTAGACCGGCAACGCCAATGGGGGGCCCGTTTGTTTTTATATGCTGAGAGCAAGCAGCGTTAACGAGGTAGGTGCCAGGGAAGTGAGGGTGAAGACGGCAGGGTACGAGAAGCAGAATGTCACAGTGATGTTGTGCATTACAGCTGACAGCCGCAAGCTTCTGCCCTACATATTTCAGAAGAAGGAAAAACATGCCCAAAAAAGAGTGTTTTCTAAAAGATGTCATCATTTGAGTCAATGAGTAAGGATAGATGACAGCCGAACTAATGGAAGATTGGATCCGGTTTGTGTGGCAGCGGCGCCTGGGGCACTGCTTAGGGGAGCTTCAGGTACGCGGTCTATGCTTGTCTTAAATGCTTTTCCTGGCCACCTCACCTCAGGTGTGAAGACAAAGCTGCTAAAGAGCAACTGCGACTTAGTCATGATTCCAGGAGGCATGACACCAGTGCTGCAACCAGTGGACATATTGGTAAATAAGCCGTTCGAGGCCCTCCTTCGACAGGAGTATGAATAGTGGATTCGAAACTCTGACCGAAAAAAAAACACTGATAGGAAAGTAGCAGAAAGCGTCCCTGTCTACCGTGGCAACATGGATTTGGAAGCAAATCAAAGTCGATGTTGTCGTGAAGTCATTCAAGAAATGTTGCATCACGAACAACTTGGACGGCGCTAAATATGAGCGGCTGTAGGACACAGAAAGTGAGGGTTCGAATGGTGCTATGTACTCGAGCGATGCGACGGACTCGAGTGGCAGTGAAAGTGACTGACCTCATACACAAGTGGTGGGTGTAAAATAAAGGAAGCCTCCTCGTTGGAAGAATGGAAAACAGGGCGACTTTATTGCCCAGAGCACCTTTGTTAAACGTGTCCCTTCTCACCCGATCCAGTTCAGTTCAGTCCCGCACCGCTTGCTCCGCGCGCTTGTCCGTCATCGTCCTTCTCTTCTTGTCATATTCAACACATCCCGGGCCTGAGGTGGCGATTTCTAAAGGGTATAGTTTTTGTACAGGCTTGAACAGCTGAGAGCCATTGTGTATTCCTTACTCTACATGACAGAACTATTCCTTTGTTACTTTGAACGCATTCGCTTACTATGCCAGTTTTCCAGAATAGCCTAGGAGCATCGTCATGAATAATCACAACATTCCCTTTTTTTATGATGGTGAATTTTGACGCTCTCTTGAGTGAACGTTTCGGAATGTGAGGAGATATTCATGAAGCCATCGCTTCCATAGTTTTTTTATTATTAGCTGCCTGTGAACCCACAAACTGAGCAGCTCTGTATTCATTTTTACCCGTTCATCTGAAGTGTTAGGTTTGGACAAGAGATGGCTGCCTAATAAAAAAATGAGACAGGGTCAAGATTTCTGGTTCTCTGGAGGAGAAATAAATGTAACACATTGATCTGGAATTTACAGCAGCTTCAGTTTTTGTCAGCAAAGTGCTCAGTGGCTGTGAGTCAACAGATGCCTTGCCCAATGCCTTGCGAAGACACATCTTGACTATACGAACTAACCGCTTCCAAAAACCATCCCACCAAAGAGCTCTCTCTGCAATAAATTTCCTCGTCATGCTGTAGGAGGAGCAGTACCGGCTTACTTCGTTCTTCCTCAGCAGCTGGTGCATGTAAGCTAATTCAGTGTGCAGTTTTCCTAAATGTAGCAGCATTGTCGGAGTATACTATTCGCGATATACCATGACTCACACAAAATTCTTTGAACGCCATTAGGAAGGCGTTTGCGGTAAGTCCAACAACATACTCAAGATGAATGGCTCGTACGACAGCGCATAGGAACAGTACAATGTACACTTTACCACCCTTGAAGTCTTTCACAAACGCTGGTCCTGCTAAGTCAACACCTGTAACTTCGAAAGGGCGTGAATAGCGCACATGATCACTGGGAAGGGGGGCTACTGGTGCACTGGCAGGCTTCATTCGGAAACGCGCACAAACCATACATCTTCGAGCATTCGCTTCACTGCTTGTCACGCTCTGGGCACCCAGAATCAAGAACGCAGCTCCGTTAAAGTGTCGTTGACACCACCATGGAGCACAATTTTATGTGCTTGAAGAGTGGTGAGGCGTGTGTACCGTGTAGTCGCCCTGCACTGGCACTGGCGCCATCTCGTTGTACATGACGTCGGCATTCTGAAGGCGAGTTTTGATCCTCATGATGCCCTTTTTATCAATATTTTGATTAAGGTCTTTTATTTACGATGTCTTGTCAAGGGGTTGTCCAACTTCAAGTTGGGCTCTTTCCTTGGCATAGGTTTCTGAGGTTTCTGTCTGTGATTGCTTGAACCAAACGTTATCTAGTAGCTGCAAGTCCTCCTTCCCTATGAAATTTTGGCGATCTACAGTTGTACACGAAGCATTTGACCCAATGCTGTAACTCTTTAGCTCAATAGTACTGGGACGCTTGTCTTCAACTCTGACGCAGCTTGTTCCTCTCCAGCTGCAGAATCTCGATAGTCAGGCATCCTGGGCGAACTATCTGGGGTACGTAGAAGCCAGTCGAGTCCTTTCCATCACAGCTGGCTGTTGAGAATATCTGCCATATAAATTCCGCCTTTCAGCAGATCGGCTCGGTTTTGTGTACTCGGACAGTGATGCCACTGACCTGGATCGGTTGCTTGACGTATCTCGTTGCCTCTGTTGGAAACAAATTGTTTCCACTTGTTTTCAGAGTTTCGTATTCAACGAAGCGTCACAGTTGAGTCTGTCCATATGTGCTCTCCCATTGTCCAGTTCTTCGATTTAAGTGCTTCGCACAAGAACTTCAGGACTCTAAAAGCGAGAATGGCAGCAACTAGTTCCAAATCTGGTAACGTTATTTGTTAGATTGGAGGAACTTTGAACTTCGAAAATAGAAGCTGGACGTCGACGTTACCGCATGGATCTTCAAGTCTGAGATAAGCGGCAGCACCATAAGCACAAGACCTGGCATCGGCGAATACATGAAGTTGGAAGCTTGCCAGCTTGTCAAGTAATAACTGGAGCTCACACTTAGAAAGTGAAAATGGTTACGATTCTTTCAATTCACTGGACCACTTTTCTCACTGTGTTCTAAGTGTTTCAGGTATGACTTCTTCTCACGCTGTACCATGCTGCCACAATTTCTGAAACAGCACTTTCATTCTCACAGTGAACGGTGACAGTCAACCTAATGGGTTGAAAATTCGTGCAGTCGTCAGGAAGACGCATCTCTCGGTTTCGTTTCATTTTTGCAGAAGCTCCAACAGGGATTTCATGTCGGAATGAGCTTGCTCGCAGTTGTGTCCCATAGCAGACTTGGAACCTTCCTAAGAGGGGCTGCTGAACTAAAAGGTAATCCATTAGCCATGTGCCGTCTGAGCTCGTCATTACTAGTGGACCATTTTTGCAGTTTTATTCCGGCTTTGCTCAGGATGAAATTCTCTTCTTGGTAGATGCAAAACGCTTCGGTTGAAGAACTAACTCTTGTGACAAGATCGTCGACGTAGAAGTTCTCGGCAAGTTGCCCTGCTGTTGATCTCAGCCCAGAATTATTGTGATTGAAATGTGATTGAAGTGGTGTTGGAGT